CGCTTTCCTCCCCCCCCCCCCCCCTTAACCCCCCCAAACACTGTAACGCACATGGCAATGCAATGCAACTCCCCCTCTCTGGCTCTTGACTCACTTAAGAGACCTCTGCACACCCTCGCCCTCTCCTCCGCTCCACTCCACCCCCCCTCTCTCCCTTCTCCACCCTCCCCCCACCAGGCATACGCCTTTGTGGTGGCGCTACAGCTCTCCCTCTTCGGCCCTTGAGATGCCTCACAGCTCACACACACACTTTCCCTTCCCTTTCCTTCCCCCCTCCCCCCACCAGGCATATGCCTTCGTGGTGGCACTACAACTCTCCCTCTCCAACTTCTAGTCGCATCAGAGCTCACACACCCCCCTTCCCTTCCCTTCCCTTTCCTTCCCCCCCACCTCCCCCCACCAGGCGTACGCCTTTGTGGTGGCGCTACAGCTCTCCCTCTTCGGCCAGTACAGCTACAAGAATGTAGCGCACATGGCTCGAGATGCCTCAGGGCTCACACAAACCCCCTTTCCCTTTCCTTCCCCCTCCCGTTTCCCCCACCAGGCATACGCCTTTGTGGTGGCCCTTCAGCTATCCCTATACGGCCAGCACAGCTACGACACTGTAGCCACGTGATATAAGGCTGGCTTTGAGCCGCCTCAAAACCCTACCCCCACCCCCCCCCACCAGGCATATGCCTTCGTGGTGGCCCTTCAACTCTCCCTCTACGGCCAGTACAGCTACGACACTGTAGCGCACATGGCAGAAGAGACAAAGCACGCCGACCGCACGATCCCGCTAGCCATGGTGTCGTCCCTCTCGTGCGTGTGTGTGCTGGGGTGGGGGCTGATAGTGGCCCTCACCTTCTGCATTCAGAGCGACGACCGGCTGTTGGGCACAGACAACGAGACAGGAGGGGCGTACCCCGTGGTTCAAATTATATGGGACGTGTTCTTTACCCGGTGAGTGAGTGACAAGAGGGAAAGGATGGAGGGACAAGGCACCTGGTGTGCGTGTGCTGCGTGTGTGTGCTGGGGTGGGGGCTGATAGTGGCCCTCACCTTCTGCATTCAGAGCGATGATCGGCTGTTGGGCACAGACAAGGAGACAGGAGGGGCGTACCCCGTGGTTCAAATCATTTGGGACGTGTTCTTTAGCCGGTGAGTGCATGGGAGAAGGGGAGAGTGATAGGGAGAAAGGGAGAGAGAAAGAGGGAAAAGGAGAAAGAGGGGAGGGAAAAAGGCGCCTGTTGTGCGTGTGTGTGCCGGGGGGGGGGGCTGCTCGTGTCGCTCACCTTCTGCATCGAGAATGACGATCGGCTGCTGGGGACGGAGAATGAAACCTCTTGTTCCAACAGGTATATCAAAGTCTAATTTTGGCGAGTACCCCGTGGTTCAAATCATATGGAACGTGTTCGCTAGCATACCGGTGAGTGGGAGAGAGAGGGAGAAAGAGAGAGAAAGGAGCGAGCGAAGGGGCACATCATCACAATCGGATGCATATCACTCGATTCCAGATTCCCTACCTTCCTCCTCCCCACTTCCAACCTCCCCACCCCACCTCCTGTCTCCCCACCTCCCCAAATCCTCTGCGTTGCATTCCCCACATCCCCTGTTTTCACCTCCCCGTCTCCCAACCTGCCCATGTCCCCACCCCCTGAACCCCCCACCTCCCACTACCAGCTACGGCAGCGGCACAGGGGCAGTCATCATCCTCTGCTGCATGTCCCTCGCGTTCTTCCTCGGGGTTGTCGGCGGCCTCACGGGCGCATCAAGAGCGGTGAGAGGGTGCTGCTTCTTGGTAACCTAGTACCCATTTCTCGCCGTGTCTCTCCGTGTCACACGCCCTGCCATGACCCTCGCGTTCTTCCTCGGGGTTGTCGGCGGCCTCACGGGCGCATCAAGAGCGGTGAGAGGGTGCTGCTTCTTGGTAACCTAGTACCCATTTCTCGCCGTGTCTCTCCGTGTCACACGCCCTGCCATGACCCTCGCTTTCTTCCTCGGGGTTGTCGGCGGCCTCACGGGCGCATCAAGAGCGGTGAGAGGGTGCTGCTTCTTGGTAACCTAGTACCCATTTCTCGCCGTGTCTCTCCGTGTCACACGCCCTGCCATGACCCTCGCGTTCTTCCTCGGGGTTGTCGGCGGCCTCACGGGCGCATCAAGAGCGGTGAGAGGGTGCTGCTTCTTGGTAACCTAGTACCCATTTCTCGCCATGTCTCTCCGTGTCACACGCCCTGCCATGACCCTCGCGTTCTTCCTCGGGGTTGTCGGCGGCCTCACGGGCGCATCAAGAGCGGTGAGAGGGTGCTGCTTCTTGGTAACCTAGTACCCATTTCTCGCCGTGTCTCTCCGTGTCACACGCCCTGCCATGACCCTCGCGTTCTTCCTCGGGGTTGTCGGCGGCCTCACGGGCGCATCAAGAGCGGTGAGAGGGTGCTGCTTCTTGGTAACCTAGTACCCATTTCTCGCCGTGTCTCTCCGTGTCACATGCCCTGCCATGTCCCTCGCGTTCTTCCTCGGGGTTGTCGGCGGCCTCACGGGCGCATCAAGAGCGGTGAGAGGGTGCTGCTTCTTGGTAACCTAGTACCCATTTCTCGCCGTGTCTCTCCGTGTCACACGCCCTGCCATGACCCTCGCGTTCTTCCTCGGGGTTGTCGGCGGCCTCACGGGCGCATCAAGAGCGGTGAGAGGGTGCTGCTTCTTGGTAACCTAGTACCCATTTCTCGCCGTGTCTCTCCGTGTCACACGCCCTGCCATGACCCTCGCGTTCTTCCTCGGGGTTGTCGGCGGCCTCACGGGCGCATCAAGAGCGGTGAGTGGGTGCTGTACCTAATCCCTGACCTCTGGCAGACCTAGTCCTTCTCGTGAACGCTGTCCAACCCAGGAACGCTGTTACGCTCTCACTCACCTGCTCCTTTTCACCACACTTCTGCCCTGCATTCTAGGTCTCTCAAGCCCCTCCCATCCCCATCTCCCTGCCACTCTTCCTGCTTTCTTCTCTCGCGTGACTCAGGTCTCCCCTTTGCCTCTCTCTGGCGCCGGGTCAACCGCAGCCGCACGCCCATCTACGCTGTCTGGCTCTGCTGCTCCATCGCCATCCTCTTTTCTCTTCCTCTTCTCTCTTCCTCTCCCTCTGCCCGCTCCCCACCCCCCCTCCCCACACCGCCAGGCCTACTCCCTGTCTCGTGACTCAGGCCTCCCCTTTGCCTCTCTCTGGCGCCGGGTCAACCGCGACCGCACGCCCATCTATGCCGTGTGGCTCTGCTGCAGCATCGCCATCCTCTTCTCTCTCCCCCTCCTCGACGACTCCAGCACCTTCCATTTCATCACCTCGCTCGCCACCGTGGCATGGGTGGGCAGCTACGCTGTGCCCATCTTCTTCCGGCTCATTCAAAGTGATGAGGACTTTGAGCCCGGGGCGTTTAGTCTTGCCCCCTACGTCGGCCACACGGGAAGGTGAGTGTTTGGGATGGTTTGGGTTCGGGAAGGTTTCGGGAAGAAAACAAATCGCTACAGTATCTCGTTGGCAGCATTGACAAACTGTCGCCAACATGCCTCATACCCTAATTGACTATGTGGCCCCAACCTCCGCCCCCCCTCTCCATTCTCAACCTCTCAAATCCAGGCAGCTAATCACCTCGCATCGCTTTTTTGTCATCTACACCATCCCCCCCACTCTCTGTCTCCCCTCCCCACCCAACAACACTCAAATCGAGGAGACTGATCAACCTCGCAGCGCTCCTCTTTGTCATCTACACCATCGCAACCTTCCTGCCGATTGTATCACACACACATATGCCTCCACTCTCTCTCTCCCCTCCTCACTCAACTTCCAAAAAAATGCAGGCGTATAATCAACCTCGCATCGCTCCTCTTTGTCATCTACACCATCGCAACCTTCCTCGTTCCCGTCGATTTCCCGGTCACTCCGTCTAACTTCAACTATGCATGTGTGGGAATCGTCTGCCTCGTGATTTTCTTCTGCTCCTGGTGGCTTTTAGACGCCAGGCATTGGTTCGTAGGCCCGTACCAAAAACAGCAGAGCTCCGCACAGAGAATGTCGAAGTACTCTGCTGGACGCTTGTTCATGTGAATAAAGGATAGCGCACGTACATACCTTGTACCAAAAACAGCAGAGCTCCGGGGAAAGAGTGTCAAAGTACTCTGGGGGACGCTTGTTCATGTGAATAAAGGGTGCGTTTCGGAATTTACACCTACAAATAGCAAATCTATGGGCAAAGAATGTCATACCGGTAGTACGGTACTCTGCTGAGCGCTTGTTCATGTGAATAAGGGCTGCATTTCAAGTTTTACCGTACGTCTCAAAACAGCAGAGCTCAGGGGAAAGAATGTCTAAGTACTCTGCTGGACACTTATTTATGTAAAAAGTGCTACCTGTTTTGTAGGGTGTGCTTTTATTCTTGCGTCGGGTGATCACGCGGTGGAACGCAATGCCACACGGTGCAATGCTAAGTTGACCGCTAAGATGGGAAAGGATTCAATTCAAGGTGGTGGAAAACAATTATTCAAGTTTAGTGGCAAACCCAGAATCTGCAGATCACATGGTACATAAATAGAGAATGCTGGACAATAATTACTATACATCTACCTACCGTAGTAAAACGCATGGTAATTATTATGAGGACTTAGTACCCTTGGTATTGACCACTGAACAAATCATGTCAAGCATGAAAGTAAATCTCGGCTGCCCTAAGGGTCAATGGAACCACTTGGCAGCTCCTGATTGGCTGTGATGCTGGCTCCCTGCCCGGTTATGGAACGGCCCTATGAACCAATGACGCGCGTCCAAAAACCACCAGGAGATAAAGAAGGTTACGGTTACCAGCAGCACGCAGCTGGACCAATTGAAATTGGAGACGGTTACAGGGAAGTACATTGGAACCATGGAAGTGGCCATGGTGTATAACACGAAAAAGAGTGCTCCCCCATTAATGCACCTCCTAATGGGTGGAGAGGGGTGGAGAGGGTTGGAGAGGAGTGGAGAGGGGTGGAAAGGGGTGGTTATAGGGAAATACATGGCACCATGGAGGTGGCCCTGGTGTAGAGGGCGAAGAAGCGAGCTCCGCCGTTGATGCACCTCCTGATGGGGAGAGACGGGTGGTGAGGGGTGGAGAGGGGTGGAGAGGGGTGGAGAGGGGTGGAGGCGGCCAGAGGGAAGTACATGGGAACCATGGAAGTGGCCATGGTGTAGAGGACAAAGAGGGCTCCACTGTTGATGCACCTCCTGATGGGTTGGATTGGGACAGGGTGGGTTGTGGGGGAGAAACTGAAGAATGAAAGTGAGATGGGGAGCAGCAACACACTCACACGAGGAGACGGGTGGAGCAGGCACAGCAGCAGTGGAATGGTGTAGCTGCCCTGCACACATTCAACCCAACCCACACACTCACCTGCCCACACTCCCCACATACTCGAGGCTGATCGCCCCTGGCTTGAACGCCGGTCGGGGTTGCAGCAGGCGCTGCATGAGAGGCACGGCGAAGCTTCCCACCCATGCGACGGTGGCGAGGGAGGTAGGAGAGAAGCACCGGCACAGCATTCCCCCCTCTCTCTCCCACCACACGTTCCAACACCCATGTGCCCGCTCACCTGCCCACACTCCCCACGTATCGCTCGAGGCTGAATGCGCCCGCCTTGAACGCTCCTCTGGGCTGGATCAATCGCAGCAGCAGCGGCACTGAGTAGCTGCCCACCCATGCGACGGTGGCGAGAGAGGAGATTGCGAAGAAGGTGGAGGTGGCGTGGAGGAGAGGCAGGCAGCGGCACAGCACCCATAAGCCAGAAGCCCATAGCCCGCTCACCTGCCCACGGCCCCCACGTATCGCTCGAGGCTGAATGCGCCCGCCTTGAACGCTCCTCTGGGTTGGATCAAGCGCAGCAGCAGCGGCACTGAGTAGCTTCCCACCCATGCAACGGTGGCAAGAGAGGTGATGGCGAAGAAGGTGGAGGTGGAGTGGAGGAGAGGCAGGCAGAAGAGGATAGCGATGGAGCACGTGAGGAGAACCGCGTTGACAGGCGTGCGGTCGCGGTTGATTCGCCGCCACAGGAAGGCGAACGGGAGACCGGAATCGCGCGAGAGGGAGTAGGCCTGGTGTGGGGATGGGGTGCGGGGAGCGGGCAGAGGGAGAGGAAGAGAAGCGTGCGGCCTGAGAGGGAGTAGGCCTGGTGTGCAGAAAGGGGAAAGGGGAGTGCGGGGAGAGCGCAGAAGAGGAAGAGAAGAAGGAGTGGTTTTTTTGTTTTCCTGTTAATGACAGCAGCAAAGACGGTAAGGAGGGAAGGGGGTGTTTAGGTGGATTGGGAGTGGCGTGTGACTCACCGCTCTGGAAGCCCCGATAACAACAGCAAAGGCGGGAAAGGAAGGAGAGTGTTTATTTAGGTGGGTGGTGGATGGGGTGTATGTATGGGGTGTATGTATGGGGAGTATGTATGGGGAGAATGTATGGGGAGTATGTATGGGGAGTATGTATGGGGAGTATGTATGGGGATTGACTCAGGAGCCAAACGCATGGAGGCTCTTAGCGAAACTCACGGCTCTGGAAGCCCCGATGACGGCCGCAAAGGCGGCAAAGAAGAAGGAGAAGTACATGAGGCACAGCAGCACCACTGCGCCAGTACCGTTGCCGTACCTGGTGGGGGGAAGAACGCACAGCACAAGGAGGGGAATGAATGCAGAGCACACGAATGCAAGGCGGCAAAGAAGAAGGAGAAGTACACGAGGCACAGCAGCACCACTGCCCCCGTGCCGTTGCCCTGAAGGGGTCGGGAAGGGGAAAAAGGTGTGAGGGGTGGGGCCACAGAGCACAAGGGTTAGAGCACAGAGTGTGAGGCAGCAAAGAAGGAGAAGTACACGAGGCACAGCAGCACCACTGCCCCCGTGCCGTTGCCGTCCCTGGTGGGGTGGGGGGGGGTAGGGGAGGGGTGGGGGGATGAAACGCACAGTGCAAGGAGAAGAGATAGAGAGGAGGAACGTGAGAAGTGGAAGGTGGAACGTGAGGAGGAAAACTGACCTGAAAATTCACCTGAGGATTCACCTGATAATTCGCCTGAGCGCTCACCTGTCGTAAAAGACCTCCCAGATGATCTGCACCACTGGCTGCTGCCCCCCCGTTTCATTCTCCTCTTCAAGAAGGGTCGCTTTATCGGTAATGCACGCAGTCAGGACAACAATCACCGCCCACCCCACCACAGTAGCTGCCGAGATACACGAGACCATGGCGGCCGGGATGGTGACGTCGGCGCGTTTTGTCTCTTCTGCCATGTGCGCTACAGTGTCGTAGGCGTATAGGCCGAATAGGGAGAGCTGCATTGCCAGCACAAAGGCGTAAGCCTGATGGGGGGGAAGTAGAGAGGGGGGGAAGGAGAGAGGGGGGAAAGGGGGGGGTGTGGAGAAAGCGGGGGGTGTGGGGAAGGTGGGGAGGGAGGAGGGTGAGGATCGAGACATCTCTAAAGGCAAAGAGCGAGAGCTGCATTGCCAATTTGCCAGCACAAAGGCGCACGCCTGATGAGGGGAAGGGGGTGTCTCTTCTGCCATGTGCGCTACAGTGTCATATGCATATAGGCCGAAGAGGGAGAGCTGCATTGCCAGCACAAAGGCGTAAGCCTGATGCACGTGGGTCACATCAAGCTGCACGTGGTAGTGGGCGGAGACGAACGAGGGGGGCTGTAGGGTGGTCGTGTGGTCATGTAATGTGGTGGGTACTGTGTGCTGTGCCTCATTCATACCCCATTCACTCCTACTCACATCGTTGGGCACGTGGGTCACATCAAGCTGCACGTGGTAATGGGCGGAGATGAACGAGGGCGGTTGTAGTGTGGTGGTGGGTTTGCGTGTTGCATGTTGCGTGCTGTGTGTTGCCTGCTGCACGCTGTGTGCTGTGTGCTGTGTGCTGTGTACTGTGTGCCGTGCATCAGCCCACTCACATCGTTGGGCACGTGTGTGACGTCTAGCTGCACGTGGTAATGGCCGAAGATGAACGAGGGGGGCTGTAGAGTGGTGGAGACGCATGGAAGAATGATGATCACTGCCAGCACCACCACGATCTGATGGGGGGGGAACAGATGGGGGAGTGGGCGGTGTTAGGGAGCGAGAGACATACTGTAGAGTGGTGGATACGCAGGGGAGGATGATGATCACTGCTGCTACTGCAATCTGATGGGGGAGAGAAACGAGGTGATGGGGTTGGAGGGGTTGGGGGGGTTGGGGACATGGAATAGGCTGATAGGCTGGAGGGTGGTGGAGATACAGGGGAGGAGAGAGAGCGAGTGAGGCGAGGGAATGGGGGATGGGGGTGGGGCTATGGAATAGGGCTATCAACTGCAGGGTGGTGGCGACGCAGGGGAGGATGATGATGGCTGCTAGCACCACCACGATCTGACGGGGGGAGGGAAAGAGAGAGAGTTGGGAGAATGGGGGATTAAGGAGGGTGACTTGCTGGCAAGAAAGAGGGCTGCAGGGTGGCGGAGACGCAGGGGAGGATGATGATGGCTGCTAGCACCACCACGATCTGATGAGGGGGGTGCGAGAGAGAGGCGGGGGAATGGGGGATTTTGGAGGGTGTTGCTGACAAGCAAGGGGGGCTGCAGGGTGGTGACTTGCTGACAAGCAAGGGGGGCTGCAGGGTGGTGACTTGCTGACAAGCAAGGGGGGCTGCAGGGTGGTGGAGACGCAGGGGAGGATGATGATCACTGCTAGCACCACCACGATCTGATGGGGGGAGGGGTGAAGGGAATTGGGTTGCAGTGGAGGGAGGTGGGAAAGGAAACGTGGTGGGATGGGAACGCAGCATACTTCTTCCACCCACCCCCACCATATCTCCCACTCCGGCATTCCCACCCACTCCCACCTCCTACCCCTCACCTGCCACACGGCACTGAAGGCTGCTATGCGTCCAATAAATAGCACGGGCAGCAGATTGAGGCTGAACACCGCACCCCACAGTACCTCCCACCCGCACCCCACAGTACCTCCCACCCGCACCCCACAGTACCTCCCACCCGCACCCCACAGTACCTCCCACCCGCACCCCACAGTACCTCCCACCCGCACCCCACAGTACCTCCCACCCGCACCCCACAGTACCTCCCACCCGCATCCCACCCCACCCCATCCCACCCCACCCCACCCCTCACCTGCCACACAGCACTGAAGGCGGCAATCCCCCCAATGGAGAGCACGGGGAGCAGGTTGAGCAACCCGCATGCCACCATACCTTCCTTCTACACACCCCCACCCACCCATATCTGTTACCCACCATACCTCCTTCCCACATACTCTCATTCAACTATACCTCCCACACACCCCCACCCCTCACCTGCCACACGGCACTGAAGGCTGCTATGCGTCCGATAGAGAGCACGGGGAGCAGGTTGAGCAACCCACACGCCACTATTGCCGCCAGCCGCCACTCATTCTTGCTCAACAGATAGCCTCCCCCTATTCCTCACCTGCCACACGGCACTGAAGGCTGCAATCCGTCCAATGGAGAGCACGGGCAGCAGGTTGAGCAACCCGCATGCCACTATTGCCGCCACCGTGATTCCAAAGCACTCGTAGTTGGTCAGAAGATAGCCGCCGTTGAACCCGCCTGGATGAAACAGGAGACAAAACAGGCAAGGCAAAAGAAATGTTAGGAAAACACTAGACGCTAGAAAGGTAGCCGCCGTTGAATCCACAGTGAAAAACACAGGAGGGGATGGGGATAACAGTACAAATTGCAACTTGGGTTGCAGGAAGGCAGGCAGGGAAGAGCAACACCATTCCAAGGAGAAGAATGCAAGACCATTCATGTAGCCATGACAGGATTATACAGTACTATGGTACTTACCTATATAATGTAGTTCATTCACTATAATAACGTAGCAGCACTATGGTACCTAAAGCAGCATACATGGTGTAGCTGTAGTAACGTAGTAGTGTATTGTGGCAGTGTATATGGTATATCTGTAGCAGTGTACTGTATACCTCTACTGAGGTGCAACAGATGGTGTACTGTGGCAGCGCGAATATACAATACATTGCACATTATATCAGTATATAAACCTGTATATGTGTATCGATCTTGTGGACCTGTAACAGCATATATGGTGTACCTGTAGCAGCATATATGGTGTACCTGTAGCAGCATAGATGGTGTACCTGTAGCAGCATAGATGGTGTACCTGTAGCAGCATAGATGGTGTACTGTAGCAGCTGCACGCCTCCAAAGGAGAGCGAGCCGATGCACACGGAGATCCCAAGGAGCTCCAACCAGCCCTGCAAGGAGGAGGAGTGGAAGAGAGGGGAGAGGGGAAAGGGGAGAGGAAAGGACAACGAGCACGCTTACTGTAGCAGCCTGTGCCTCCAAAGGAGAGAGAGCCGATGCACACGGAGATCCCAAGGAGCTCCAACCAGCCCAGCGGGAACACGGAGGGAAACGAGGAGGGGAGAGGAGGGGGACAAGGAGCATGGTTTCAGGTAAAGCCCGGTCTTGCTAATGCTTGAACCACCAAAGGAAAGCGAGCTGATGCACACGGAGATCCCAAGGAGCTCCAACCAGCATGCGAGGACAGAAAGGCAGAGGAGAGAAGGGCAATGGGAGGAAAAAGGGGGGTGAGGAGGAAAGCGGGGTAGGGGGGAAGAGGGGGGGCGGGGAGTGAGAGGGGAGGGGGGGAAACAGCTATGACGGGTGAGGTGGAAAGGGCGCTCTCGCACAGATTTCCAGGCAGGGGACGGGTGAGGGGAAAGGGGTTTGAGAGGAAAACGGGAAAGGGGTTGAGCAAGAAGGGTATTCAGGTTGATCCAGGCGGGGGAGCAGGGAGGGAGGTAGGAGGGAGAGAGAACTCACGGTAATTGAGGCAGGACGGGGGGGCAGGAGGGGGGGGGGGGGGGGGGGGGGGGGGGTGGGAGAGGTAAATGTGGGCCCCTTCAGGAAAGAGGGACACTAACGGTGATCAAGGCGGCAAAGGAAGGGAGGGGATGAAGGGTGTTGAGGGGAAGAGGGCCCTTACAGTGATCCAGGCAAGGGCGGGAGGAAGGAGAGCACACTCACGGTGATCCAGGCAAGGGCGGGAGGAAGGAGAGCACACTCACGGTGATCCAGGCAGCAAAGGGGCCGTGCTTTGGGCCGGCGAGAGCTGCCGCCCAAAAGTAGAGCGACCCCGAGATCTGATTTGCGGGGGGTGTGGGGGAGGAGGGGGGGGGCAAAAGGGCGAGGGGAGAGGGGGAGTGGGGAAACGCGAGAATGGGGAGATACAATGTGGGAGGGAGGGAGCAAGTGACGGGGAAGGTTGGTGGGTGGGGGGAACGTCTTGGACTTGTCAAAAACGATTGCAAGAGACAAGTTGCAATGGGAATGAAGGGTAGCGAGCGGCGTACAAGGAATGCCGTTTTGAGAGCACTCAAGAAAGGGACTTACTGGGAAGGCTGATGAGATTTCAGCGAAGGAGAGGGCGACGAGGTGAGTGAAGAAGGCTGTTATCCACCAGTACCACACTAGAGCCACAGGGCCGCCGTTCAAGAAGGTCAATCTTGACATTAAAAGGGGCGGAGGGGGGGAGTGGGGGAGAACGGAGGGTGAGATTTCAGCAGTACTACACCGGAGTCACCAGGCCGCCGTTCGAGAAGGTCAGCCTTGAAACGAAAGGGGCAGAGGGGGAGAGTGGGGGAGAGAGAGGAAAAGGAGGGTGAGATGTCACCAGTACCACACCAGTGCCACGGGGCCGCCGTTCAAGAAGGTCAATCGTGAAAGCAAGGGGCAGACGGGAGAGGGAGAGGCAGAGAAAGTATGTCATTCTTGAAAGGGGCAGAGGGGGAGAGGGAGAGGAAGAGAGGGATAAGATAAGTAGACAGGAGAGATATAAAGATCAGCAATGGGGGCCCAGGACCCAGGTGCAATTCTCAGGAAAACTTTGAAAAAAAAAAAAAAAAAAAACACACACACATACAAAAAAAAAGAGAGGGAGGAGGGGGAACTCTGATTTGGGATTCGTGGTGGAATTCACGAGTAGAACGGCACTGTTTTTGCATAGACGGTGACTATAGAGAGGCTGATAGGGGAGGGAAACTCACGAGTAAAAGGGCACTGTTCCTGCGTAGAATGTGACTATAGAGAGGCCGATGGAAAACACCTCAAAGAAACTCTGCGTATGGGGGGAAAGAGGGGGGGGGAGGGGGGAGAGAGGAGGGGGCCTCGCGAGTTCATATTCTTTCCTAGTGAATTCGAATAAAAAAAACAGAACGAAGGACAGAAAAAGGCTTGACCCTTGGCCGCCACGTGCCACGGCTGAGGATGTCAATTATAGCCAAAAAACAAACAACAACAGGCGTGGGGGGGAACTACAGGCCAAAGGGGGGCCGGGTGGGGAAAGAGTTGTGGAAACGAAGCGAGTAGTCCTTGCATCACCTTGAAAGGCGAGTAATGGAGCAACCGAGTCGCAGCGGTGATTTTTGAGTGACTCAGTCACCTCAGGGGGAAGCGGGGAATTCGGAGGAGTTGCGCGGGGGAAAGAAGGGAGGGAAATTCAAGAGGCTCCTGGAGTAAAAATGTGACTATAAGCCCTTGATTATACGCGACGCTTATGTCAACAGCTGCAGCTTGTGTCACTTGAGCCTCGCGTTTGGAGTCACCAAGGCGAAGCGCTTTTAAGCCATGTGGGCCTGGAATATTTCATTGCTTCTATCTCACCCAGTGAATTTATGACGTTGCGGCATCTTATAACAAGCCAGAACCTCTAGTACCATTGTAGGCGTTTTTCAAACTTCCCAGCAGGGTATTCAACGCAGAATCTCGAAACTTCGTCCAATTCCCGCCCTCGAAACTGCACCACTCACCAGCCGGCGTCTCAATTCCTGTTTGTATCCCAACTCGTTAAGAAGCCGTTCGCCAGAGTCAACCTCCACCGTCATTTGCAACCCATCCTCGAGCATAATTTCTAGCGTCTGTTTCGTTCCCTCCGCGTTTAAACCAGATAAGTTTTGCCGCAGCGCCCGGCCCCGCTCTCCCCCTTCCTCGCCGCACATTGCGCCGCCATCTCAGTCGGCGCTCGCGGCTAAGCCACGTCCGCTTCCGTGGTCGACGTTCCAAGTGGCGCCGGAAGCCGCGCTAAGGCTACCAAACCCGACGGCTCCGCCGTGAATCACGGCGGCGCCTTCTCCGCTTCCCGCCCGCCATTCGCCACTGTCAGTCGCGCCGGCAGTACTTCCCGCGCCGCCGACACTGACGCTGTCAGGGTTTCCGGTACCGACGCCGACGCCGGCAGTGGCGGTGGTGGTGGGCCCGAGCACTTGCCACGCGTCAGCAGATGCGACAAGGTTGAAACTTTCGCGCTTTGCCGGGGTTTCGCCATCGTCTTCGCCGCCCCGTGGAGTCGCCGCGTCGGCTTCGCCGGCGGCTAGACCGCCACTGGTGGGTGGAGGAAATATTTGTTTTTTTCTGAAGGGCATTGCTACAGGACGAAAGCAAAACGATTAAAATCCCAATAATTTTGCAAATTATATATTTGGGTAGGAGCTTTGAGTTATCGCTCTAACTTCCAGGTGCGAGGCTAATCTACTCCCTTAGTCCTTTCTATTTGCGCCGAAGGACTGTTGTCCTTATCACCTGCTCGACGGGTGTGTCTGATAATTTGATTCCCGCGGAGGAACTGCTTGCACGGTGCTATTTTCGTTATCCCAAGAGAGAAATCCGGGGCGTGTTTAGGGTCGTGGTACCAAGATTGCTTCGGGTTGTTCGAACATCTCTTTCAAACTATAAACACTGCGGAAAAACGAAACGTGGGTTGCAACACCACACCCAATGAACGTAGAAGCTGCGACACACACAATGAAGCACTAAACATGACACTGCGACGATAATCCGAGCAGTGATTGGTCGCGCCCTGGCAGTCCAAAAGAAATGCTTGTGGAGAGAGGGGTGTTCTCGGGCTCTCTTTACAGTCACTATACTTTCTCCGCTTTACCGAGAAAACGATTGTTGAACAAGTCGACCAAAGGCGCACCGAGAACGAAACCTGCTTGTACAGTACGGTAATGATCGAGGCTCACGAGCCAGACGCACCTTGCCGCCCGAAACAAGTGGGGTCAATAAACGTGGGCCAGGGAGGGAGAGAAGGTGGGAATGGAAGGGATGTTGCAACTGGCAATGCAATGGAACCAAGAAGAGCACCGCACGGACAATGGGGAGGGACGACAGAATGCAAGATTCCAGAGGGCGACACCACATGGCCATATGTCCTCGAACAGTGCAGATTTGGGAGATTCAGTGGAGATTCCCGCAAGCAGCAGACAGACAGCCTTTCAGCTTCCAGTGCTGCAACATTTGAGCAAGGTTTGGGTGTTCGTTACCCTAACTGTAATCGGTTTTAGAAGTAAATATATAGATGCTCAGCGCTCGTTTACCTGTCCATAATAGAGGGCGCTTTCAAATATCAAATCAGGAGTTCCACCTTCTCAGATGGTAAAATATCGCAAGCAGGGAACTGCCAAACTTCCGTTCCGACCCGACCAGATGTCCCTACTTCCCACGTGCTGAGTAGATATGGGGGTGGTGGAGCATGGTGGCGCGTATCTCACGAAGCTGTACAGGACCTCTCCCTCCACTTCGGTCCACATCCGAATCACATTCAGGAGGACCTTCACTTTGTCGTCCTCGTTTTAACCAGACCGAGCATCGAATGGCCTTGCAGGTGTACCTCTTGACGCTTAGGCAGTTGATATAGTTTATACTCCAAATTTCACTTTAAAATCGTAGTAAATATGGATTGGTCTGGGTATTGGACCTGAAGAACAGTGTTTCCATAGAAATAGCACAACGAGCATCTCATCAAACAAAATAATCATAAGATGCTGAATACATCAACCGGCCAGTCGTTTTAAATAAATCAAGACCGCATAAACGCAGCGTTCACTCATGCTTCTTTGGCCGTTTCGACCCTGTAGGTTTCTTTGCTTCCGCATCATCACCTTGCTCCTTCAAATGGTCACAAGTAACTTGCATGACTTCAACTTTACTCACTTGAACAGGTTCACTGCGTCAGAAACAGCGGCAGAGCGCAGCAGGAAGACCATGTCGGGCATGCCATTCACTCCCCCCCCTTCCCCCTCCCCCCCTCCTTTCTCCTCCCCCCCGCCCCCCACCTTCTCCTCTCCTCCCCACCCTCTCCTTCATATGCTCAAACCTAACTTGCATGACATGAACCCTACTCACTTGAACTGGTTCACTGCATCGGAAACAGCAGCTGAGCCCAGCAGGAAGACAGTATCAGGGATGCCACTCAGCCCCCACCCTCACCTTCCTATGCACAACCACAACTTGCCTCGAATCGATTTCAACCCAACTCACTTGAACTGGTTCACGGCGTCGGAAACAGCAGCTGAGCCCAGAAGGAAGACCGTGTCGGGAATGCCGAGCCTCAGGTTGAGGCGAGAGGTGAGGAGCGTGTCCGCGATTGTGCAGACCGCCATTGAAATGTGCACCCACCTGCCATGGGGGGTTAGGGTTGAGATATGGGGTTCGGGAATTTGCATGAGAGGGAAAGAGCCTCAGGTTGAGGTGGGAGGTGAGGAGAGTGCTGGCGATCGTGCATAGAGCCATCACAATGCAAGAGAATAAGGAATGGAGGATTGCGGTTAGGATTTCCCATGAGAATGGAAGAGAATCAGGTTGAGGCGAGAGGTTAGAAGAATGTCAGCGATCGTGTACAGGGCCATTAGAATGTGCGCCCACCTGTAGTGAGAGGTTAAGGCTCGGGGATTAGGTGTTGTGAATCTGGGTTGAAGGTCTGGGATTTTCAGGGTTTCAGGTTTGGGGCTTGCGTGGGAAAGGAAGATCGTCAGATTGAAGCAATAGGTGAGGAGGGGGGTGAGGAGGAGGGTGCGAGTGACAGAGCCATTAGAATGTGCACCCACCTACAAAAGAAGGTACTATTCTGGTTTCCAGGGTTTAGGGAGCGTGGAGGAGCCGACCTTTGGTGCGGCTCGCTGGACACTCACATGAAGATTCGTCGAATCGGGACGTATTTGAGCCGCGTGTTGTAGAGCAGAGTCCCAAGCATGAGGCCCGCCCAGCCAATGACCTTGGGGAGTGTGAGGAGGGGGGTGGTGGGAGCCCGGAGGAACAGGTGGGGAAAAGGGGTGCGGGGGAAGGGAGGGGTGGCAGGCAGAGGATTGGAGTGGGTGAGATTGGAGAGGTAGGCATAGTATCATAAACTGTTGCACTTTGTTTTTTTTTGGGGAGTTCTCAAACGCATCACGAGTTTGGCTCAAGATGAAGGAATACTGTCAGTTGAGCTTTGAGACGTTTTAATTCTTGTGTGTTTGTGCGTTTCGTTTCGTGGGTGGAGAAACAGAAGAATCTGAGTGTTTGTTCATAACAGACCTTGGCGGAGCCAAGAAAGGAAGGGTCGAGGTGCAGATGGTTGGATAATGGATTATTGTGGCGCCCCATCAACTTAAAAAGTCCAAACCCTGTGTGTTTGATCAACGCGTACCTTAGTGGAGCCAAGGAAGGAGGGGTCGAGGTGCAGATGGTTGGTGTGGAAGTAGAAGAGGGACGAGGTTAGGGTAGGCACGACTGCACATGACGTCATGAACCATGCCATAGGCCTGGGGGAATGGGGGAGAGGGAAAGGACAGCAGAGCAATAAGGTGCGGCATAAGAGGGAGGGGTTTGTGTGGAAGTAGAAGAGGGAGGAGGAGAGGGTGGGGACGACTGCACACGTCGTCATGAACCATGCCATAGGCCTGGAGGGGAGGGGGGGAGGGAAGCACAGTGGGGGCAGCGGGGGAGACAGAAGGACAGTGGAGGGACGAAGAGAAGGGGGATTTGAAGGAAGGGTCAAGTTGGAGATGGTTGGTGTGGAAGTAGAAGAGTAAGGAGGAGAGCGTGGGGACTACTGCACATGACATTATGAACCATGCCATATGCCTGGGGAGGGAGGGGGAGAAGAAAGAGGAAGAGACGGAAGGATAGTGGAGGGTGGAGGGAAGGTGTGAAGCAGGGTCGAGGTGCAGATGGTTGGTGTGGAAGTAAAAGAGGGAGGAGGAGAGGGTGGGGACGACTGCACATGACGTCATGAACCATGCCATAGGCCTGTAGTGGAGGGGGTAGAGGAAAGGAAAGCGGGGGAGAGGGAAGGTCAGTTGGGGTTGGGAAGTGAGTTGGTAAGGCGGGGCATAAGAGGGAGGGGTTGGTGTGGAGGAAGAAGAGCGGAGAGGGTGGGGCCGACTGCACATGACGAAAAGGGGAGAATAAAAGGGGAAGAGACGTCTGTGGGGGGAGGAGGGAAGATGTGAGGATGGGTAGGGGTGCAGATGGTTGTCATGAAGACGCCCCCTCACCAGAGAATGTTTAGAGACATGAAAATGCGTCACAGAGCCATCAAAGTAGAACCTCTAAGATGATTTTTAAGTCACTGCCCATGCCCTTCTCACCAGAACATGCCCACACCAGAACATGCCCACACCAGAACACGCCCACACCAGAACACGCCCACACCAGAACACGCCCACACCAGAACACGCCCTCACCAGAAGATGTCTGGAGACATGACAGCATGCCACAGAGCCGTCACCAGGTCGAGCACCTTCCTCCCCAACCCCCCTGCTGCCTTCCTTCTACTTCTTCTCTCCTCACTTCTCCTCCTCCCCGCCTCCTCTGCTCCCTCCGCTCTTCCAGTCTCAGCTACATCCCCCTTTCCTCCTCCGTCGCCTCCATCTCTGCCTCTCCGTTGTCTCAGCCCAGTGTTCTGCCCTCCTGATACACTCTCCTCGCCCCCACCCTCCTCCTTTTCCCCACCCTCCTCGCCTCCACCTCTTCCTTCTTCTCCGTCCTTCTTCCTCGCCCCTACACCTTCTTGAGACTTGTCATCAGAACCTCCCTGTAAGGGTCCTAATAGATCACTGCCCCTTTCCTTCCCTCCGCCCTCCACCTCCCCCTCCTCCTGGAGCGCTGACACCACCTGCTCTGATACCACCTGCTCCCACTCTCCCAACTCGCCGCTCTCCTCACTCTCACTGCCACCATTCATGCGGTTACCACACGGACTTGCACCAGCGCTAGCGCCATTTGTAACACCGTCATCTGTAGCCGTGGATTTAACAGCAGAGTCGCAGGTCTCATCAGAAGTGCTTTCAATAGGAAGACAGGACGGTGCTGCTGCTGCTGCTGCTGCTGCTGCTGCTATACCACCACTCACACCATCCCTATCTGCTTCGGCCTCCTTCCAACTCTCCCTCACCCCCTCCCCCTCCTCTCCCTTCCATTTCCTCCTCCTCCACCCCCTCCTCTTCCTCCTCCTCATCCCCCTCGTCCTCCTCCCCACTTCCCGTCCCCCCTGTAAGCTTTCTCTCAGAGGACATGAAACACATGGCGAGCTGCGATAGGGGGAAGAACGCGAAGAGCGCAAACATGCCATGCGGCTGCAGCGTCTTTAAAGCCGGGCCGCCTAGTAGGCTCCCCACCACGCCTCCTGCTGCCATGGAGAACCAGGAGAGGGACTGCAGGTCACCTGCGTACCTCTCCCTGCAGAGGGGGCCACACAGGAGAAGGCAAGGCGAGGAAGAAGCTGGTTAACGGGAGTGAGCCAACAGACACCACTCTAGGAGGCCCACCCCACCACGCCTCCTGCAGCCATGGAGAACCACGAAAGGGACTGTAGGTCGCCTGCATACCATTCCCTGCAGAGAGGGGACACATGGGGGGAAGCAAGGCGAGGAAGAAGCAGGTTAAAGGGAGTAAGCCACCAGGCAACCCTCTAGGAGGCCCACCCCACCACGCCTCCTGCAGCCATGCAACCACGAGAGGGATTCGAGGTCACCTGCGTACCGCTCCCTGCACACGGGGGTATATGAAGAAAGAGTCACAGCTTTTGAGCAACCAAGAAATCATGGTTCACATATGCGGCTCCCCACCTCACCACACCTCCTGCAGCAGCAGCATCGCGAAGGGCGCGGGGGTGGCAGCAACACCACACCTAGAAGGTACACGCCTGGGTGTTCGTTTCCAGGGTTCAGGGTTTCGGGTTCAGAGCAGGGTTCAGGGGTGTGTGTACCAAATCGAATCTGTATCTTTCACAAAAAGCACTCACTGGTCTCCTTTGGCCGCTTCTGCCACCATGGCACCAATCATCACGTCAGCCATGGCCGCACGGGAGGCAGAGGGAGCAGCTGACGGGAAACCCCAAACCCCGCGGATAAGTTATCACCTCACTGGTAATACTCACTTGTCCCCCTTGGCCGCTTCTGCCACCATAGTTTCGATCACCACATCAGCCATGGCCGCCCCCATGTTCCGCAGCACAAGCAGCAGCGAGAAGGGCACGGGGGAGGCGGCAGCAGCACCCCTAGACAGTACTGTTTCATTGCTTAAAGTTACGAATCTCGAGCAGGGTTTGGGGATTTGTGTACCAATTCGAATTTGTATCTTCCATAGAAAGCACTCACTTGTCTCCTTTTGCTGCTTCTGCCACCATAGCATCGATCACCACATCAGCCATGGTCGCGCCCACGTTCCGCAGCACAAGCAGCAGCCTGAGGGGCGCGGGGGAGGTGGCAGCAGCACACCTAAAGAGTACCGTCTCCAGGGCTTAGGGCTTCGGGTTCAGTGCAGGGTTCAGGGTTTTATGTACCAGTAACTTTCATAGAAAGCACTCACTTGTCCCCTTTTGCCGCTTCTGCCACCATGGCATCTATCACCACGTCAGCCATGGCCGCCCCAACGTTCTGCGGCACGAGCAGCAGCCTGAGGGGCGCGGGGGAGGCGGCAGCAACACACCTAAAGAGTACCGTCTCCAGCTCATGTCACAGCTTCATATAACTGCTGCTCATGTCACAGCTTCATATAACTGCTGCTCATGTCACAGCTTCATATAACTGCTGCTCATGTCACAGCTTCATATAACTGCTGCTCATGTCACAGCTTCATATAACTGCTGCTCATGTCACAGCTTCATATAACTGCTGCTCATGTCACAGCTTCATATAACTGCTGCTCATGTCACAGCTTCATATAACTGCTGCTCATGTCACAGCTTCATATAACTGCTGCTCATGTCACAGCTTCATATAACTGCTGCTCCTGTCACAGCTTCATATAACTGCTGCTCATGTCACAGCTTCATATAACTGCTGCTCATGTCACAGCTTCATATAACTGCTGCTCATGTCACAGCTTCATATAACTGCTGCTCATGTCACAGCTTCATATAACTGCTGCTCATGTCACAGCTTCATATAACTGCTGCTCATGTCACAGCTTCATATAACTGCTGCTCATGTCACAGCTTCATATAACTGCTGCTCATGTCACAGCTTCATATAACTGCTGCTCATGTCACAGCTTCATATAACTGCTGCTCATGTCACAGCTTCATATAACTGCTGCTCATGTCACAGCTTCATATAACTGCTGCTCATGTCACAGCTTCATATAACTGCTGCTCATGTCACAGCTTCATATAACTGCTGCTCATGTCACAGCTTCATATAACTGCTGCTCATGTCACAGCTTCATATAACTGCTGCTCATGTCACAGCTTCATATAACTGCTGCTCATGTCACAGCTTCATATAACTGCTGCTCATGTCACAGCTTCATATAACTGCTGCTCATGTCACAGCTTCATATAACTGCTGCTCATGTCACAGCTTCATATAACTGCTGCTCATGTCACAGCTTCATATAACTGCTGCTCATGTCACAGCTTCATATAACTGCTGCTCATGTCACAGCTTCATATAACTGCTGCTCATGTCACAGCTTCATATAACTGCTGCTCATGTCACAGCTTCATATAACTGCTGCTCGTGTCACAGCTTCATATAACTGCTGCTGGTGTCACATGATGTAGGGTCTGCTGCTGGCGTCACAGCATGGGGCAACACTCCTACCATGTCACATCATAATTTCTTAGCTCTTTATGCTCAACTCACAGCATATGTCCGCCAACTATGCGCATCATAGCGTGCAGTGTCACTTCTGCAAATGTCACATCATGGCAGGGTTGCTGCTGCTAATGTCAAAGCATGTAGTGTCTGCGAGGGGCGTCACAACATGATCCGACATTGCTGCCATGTCACAGCATAGGGTCACATCTCTACAGTTCATAGCACCATACCACTGCTCTATTATGTCACAGCATGTGCTCACTCTTTCTCATGTCGCAGCATCACATCAAGGTACTCATGTCACAGTATGTAGTGTCTGCTGCTGGCGTCAATGAAATTAGGCAACAATGCTGCCATCTCACAACATAAGATCAATTGGCTCTGGTCACAGCATCATAACACTGCTTACTCTTGTCACCACAAGTGCTCACTCCTCCTCGTGTCACAGCATCATATCACGTTGGCGCGTGTCAAGGCATGTTGTGTCTACTGCTGGCGTCGCAACGTGACGCATAAGGTCACTGCTATTTATGTCACAACATCTCATCGCTGCTTTTTTTTTTTGAGCATGTGCACACTCCTGCTGCAAGGTCTACTGCTGGTGTCACAACATGAGCCGACACTGCTGCTATGTCAAAGCATAAGGTCACTGTTGTTTCCTTTCAAAGTATCTCAACTATGCTTTCTAATCCTTCCTGTCACAGCTTCACATAACTGCTGCTCATGTCACAGCTTCATATAGATGCTGCTCATGTTACAGCTTCAAACTGCTGCCGGTGTCACATGATGTAGGGTCTGCTGCTGGGGTCATAGCATGAGGCTACACTGCTGCCAAGTCACAACATAGGTCTCTTCTGCTTATGCCACAAAATCTGATTACTGCTCTATATGTCACAGCATGGGCTCTCTCCTGCTCATGTGACAGCATCATACCACTTCTGCTCTTATCACATTACGTGCTCACTGCTGCTCATGTCGTCACCATGTGCTCATTTGTGCTTATGTCACAGCTCGTGGCCTCGGCCATTGATGTCTCCGCAATAGCATTCTGATGCTCGTTTCAAAGTGTGTGGCCATTGCTCCCCATATCACAGCATGTGCTCACTTCTGCTCTGTATCCCTCTGTTGGCCATAACGACATTGCCTCCCATCATGGTGGTGTAGTTTGCTACTCATGGCTCAAGCGATAAGTGCAAGGTTACATGCGGCAATGCAAGCATGCAAAGATGCAACGACGGGAAGCGTGAACATATCGCGGCACATGCGACCGTTACTGTGCGTGTTACACGTGGGGTTGTCCGCCTTGTTTGCTGGCGAGAGGAGGGCGACTCCCGATGACGTGATTCATTTCTTAGCGGAGGCAGCACCTGAGGCTACGTCACGGCTCATCAGGGCTGGCCTAGCCACTGGTGAGTTGGGTTATTGATGGAATGTCACACGCATGTGAGGAACTAGCGCACAGTTGGCGACTTATAAAGTCGATGCAGTTGGGGTCTTGAAAAGTGTGGGCGCATTCTTTGCGCGCGCACCTGGGTCCACGCGCGCGCCTCGGTCCACGCGCGCGCCTGGGTCCACGCGCGCGCCTGGGTCCACGCGCGCGCCTCGGTCCACGCGCGCGCCTCGGTCCACGCGCGCGCCTCGGTCCACGCGCGCGCCTCGGTCCACGCGCGCGCCTGGGTCCACGCGCGCGCCTGGGTCCACGCGCGCGCCTTGGTCCACGCGCGCGCCCTGGTGCGCGCGCGCGCCCCTGTGTTGACGCCTGCCCTGCATTCTCTGCCTTACCTCCCACTCCCCATCCCCTCCCCCCACTTTCTTGCAGCCTCCCCTCCCCCCTCCAGCGACCCACCATAGCTCTGTTGATGGGACCCAAGGGCCTCATCAGCCGCCTGCTCGACTCCAGACCTGCATTGCCTGCCCCACTCTCCCTCCCCTCTTCCCTCTCTCCTCCCCCCAGCGCCCCACGATAGCGCTGGTGATGGGTCCCAAGTGTCTCATCAGCCGTCTCCTCACGCTTAATCTTAACAACTCCTTCCCTGCATGGCCTCTCGTACTCCCCCTTTCCCCTCCCCAACCCCCACTCCTGTGCCCCTCAAACTTTCCCTCCCCCTCAGCACCCCACCATAGAGCTGGTCATAGGACCCAAGGGCCTCGTCAGCCGTCTCCTCGCACCCAGATTCAATGACCTGTATTATGAAATCTGCCTTACTCTACCCTCCCCCCTTCCCCCCTGCCCCCCAGCGCCCCACGATAGCGCTGGTCATGGGGCCCAAGGGCCTCATCACATCAGTCGCCTCCTCGCACCCAAATGTGATGACTCCGGTTCTGGATTGTCGGCTCGGCCTTACCTAACCCTCTCCGCCAACCCCCATTCCTCACTGCATCCCTGCCCCCGTCATTCACCCTAGCGCCCCACCATAGCGTTGGTCATGGGTCCCAAGGGTCACGTCTGTCCTGCATTGTTTGTCTTATTCCCACCCCGCCACACCCCCCATCCCTCATCCCTGCCCCCCCATTCACCCCAGCGCCCGACCATAGCGCTGGTCATGGGACCCAAGGGGCTCATCAGCCGCCTCCTCGACTCCATACCTGCATTGTCTGCCCCACTCTCCCTCCTGTCTTCCCTCTCTCCTCCCCTCAGCGCCCCACCATAGCGCTGGTCATGGGGCCCAAGGGCCTCATCAGCCGTCTCCTCGCACCCAGATTTGATGACGTTTATTTCAAATTCTGCCTTACTCTACCTTCCCCCCCATCTCCCATCCCTCACAAATGCTGAGTTTGGACACTCACAGACGGGCGCGACGGTCGAGTTGCACCGCCAAGAGTACCATCGCATTTTCAAGGCCCACGCTCAACTGCACTTCGAGAAGGTCACTGATTTATTACAACGGCAGGATCGAGAGCTGTTTGGAGTGAGATACTCCTTTTCGCTTATGCGATTAGATGATCGCGGGAGACCAAGGCGTGTGGAGGGCTTGTCTTGGGGAGGAGCAAGACGCGGGAAGGCATTTGCTCTACAACGCCAAGGAGGTAATGCATTTCAAACATGGTATATAGCCGAACACGGGTGATGCTATCTCACGATGACGTGTCGAGTCGCCCACATCCACTTATCATACCACTATTGCTGAGGTGCAGGTAATGCAGGGCGCGCTGCTCGTAGCGGCACTACGGACGATGGTGGGGTGGAGAATGCTACGGCCCCATCTAATCCTTCCGTGCCTCCTTTGCCCGTCGGGGGTGGTGGTGATGGCAAAGGCATACCCTCCACTTCTTCCGTGCCTACTTTGCACGTCGGGGGTGGTGGTGATGTCGAAGGCATACCCTCTACTCCTTCCGTGCCTCCTTTGCCTGCGGGGAGTGGACATCATGCAAGCGGCTGCATGCCATTGCCTACAGCACCACCAAGCACGATGAATGGCATGCCAGTCGACAGGTGAGCAGTTGACATACTACATCATTTGAAGTTATGTTACTATCTTATAAATTCCTCTGGTCCCACTGAACCTCTTTACACTTCCACATCAACGATGCTTTCATCATTTGTGTCCTTTTTCCATGCCCCTCGTAAGGCCTGTTTGCAGCCATCCGCGCACGAGCGCGCGTGGGACAGTCCCCAGGCATTGGCCAACATCTCCAAGTGTTGATGATATTCCTGAGCAACGGGTATGTCTAGTCGAGCCACGTACCGTTGTCGGGTTCTTCAAGGGGTGTCGCTTAGTGTGTTTGCATCAAGATACATGCGGAGGTGCTATGTCTCTCAAGTCGTGGAAGTTTTCTTGGGCTTCAGTTGGCTTGTTTTGGAGATGCGATAAGTGTTCGCATGGTGTGGAATTCTGATCCTGCACCAATCGTGGAGAGTTGGGGTTGGTGCACGAGTGCCCATGCTACACTCAAAATATGTGGGAGCATTCGCGCTCGCTGGGATGGGGTATCAACAGATGTGTGAGTTTAGCTGCAATTTTGGCATTCCATGTCCTGGCAAAGGCACATTCTATCGATACCTTGGGGGCGATAATGGGCTATGGAAAACAATAATTAGGGAGGCAGATAAGTCGATGGCCTTGGTGCGGGAGGAGATGAGCAACCGTGACATTCCAGCCGAATACGTGACGGTGGATGGCCGATGGTCACATGTCCAAGAGGGTGAGTCGTACACAGTGTCGTTCATGGACATACCGTCGCGGAAAATCTTGTACTGTGTAACAACACGTAAAGGGGTGGATGATAGATCGTCAGTGCGATTGGAGCAGATTGCATTCGACAGAGGGGTTGATGAGTTGAAGCTGTTGGGGTTCGATGTGAAGGGCGTCATTTCGGATCAAGGGACCACGTTTAGAGGCGCTGCGGCGGAGCGAAAGCTGGATCATCAGGTGGATTGGTGGCACGTGAAGCGGACGCTGTAAAATCTTTTCTGCAAGGAGCTTCAGGATCAAGTGCGGATGGCAGTGGAGGTGGACAAGGCAAGTTGTATCGAGGAGCTATGGTTGGCTAAGACGGAAGATCTAAGGCGGTGGTTGAGGACCAAAGGATTGGAAAAAGAGGCGAAGGGGACACTCAAAGCGTCACTTGTGGAATCGGTATGCGATGCCATGGGTACCATTGCATATGTGAAGATGACCCCTGATGAAGCGAAGTGGAAGTTTCCTGAGTTGAGAAAAGTTCGGCGGCTGGGAGGAGAATGGGCGGCGGTAGATGTCCCAGTGTGTGAGAGTACGACGCATATGCTGGCTTTGCTAGCTTGCCTAGACTTTATTACGCTATATCTAACTTGAGTTTATTTTATCATGCATAGATATGCTTGATTTCCTAGGTTAGGTGCATTCCTATATTTTATTATAGTTATAGCACCGAACCAGGTTACTGTCAGAACTATATTGTAGGCTATAGTGGGGCACTCCTTATGGGGTACAGTATTGCTAGGTTTTGCCTATACAAACCTTGTACTGTCATGTTTCTAGTCATTCCTCGTTCTATCTTTCACATGGTTTCAGAGCAGGTTCCCTAGTGGGAACGTTTTTTTTAAGGGCCCACCACAATTTTTCTTTCCTGCCCTGCCCGAAGCACGCTGCCGAGCTTCCCTGCCCTGTCGCGCGCCTCGCGCCTGCCTCACCTGCGCCCTTGCGCCTGCCCTGCTGTGCGCCGTCGAGCGCCTGGCCTACCCGCGCCATCGAGCGCCTGCCCTTGCTGCGGCCGCCGTCGCGCGCCTGCCCTACACGCCGTCGAGCGCCTGCCCTGCCTGCCGCCCGTCACGGCCCTGACCTCGCCGCCCGTCACGGCCCTGCCCTGCTGCCACCCCGTCGCGGCCCTGCTCTGCCGCCGCCTCATCGCGGCCCTGCCCTACGGCCGCCTCGTTGCGGCCCTCACCTAACCGCCCATCGCGGCCCTGCCCTACACCCGCCCCTGGTAAGCGCCCCTGCTGCCCGCCGCGCCGTGCGCCCCTGCAGCCCGTCCCGTCGCGCGCCCCTGCAGCCCGTTGCGTCGCGTGCCCCTGCAGCCTGTCGCGTCGCCCGTCGGCCCTGCCCGTGCCCGTCGCGTCGCCAGAGCGGGCTGCCCCAGCCCGCCGCAACGCCCGTCCGCCCTACCTGCCTGCGCGCCGCCACTGCCCGCTCCGCGTCGCGCCACCCCGTGCAAGCCGCCCGCGCGCAGACAGTTGCAGCCCGCGCGCCGCTTGTCTGCACCCCGCGAGCCTCCCCTACAGCCCGCGAACCGCCCATGCAGCCAGCGCGCCTGCCTCTTGCAGCCAGCGCCCTGCCCCTGCAGCCCGCGAGCCACCCCTGCAGCCCGTGAGCCGCCTCTGCAGTGCCCAGTGCGCCCTGCCAAACCCTAAGATAAATAAATAATTATTAAAAAAAAAAAAAAAAAACCATGCTGCCCTACGAGCTACTGCTTGCTGCTGCCTACTACTGCCCTTTTGGCCACGCGCCGCCTTTTCCTGACAGTGCGCCGCCTCGACCTACCCTAGTGCCTGTTCGCCGCCCTGCCTTTCCACTATGACGTCCCTTCGTGGTAGCAGTGGGAGTGGTGGCGGCGGTGGTGGCAGTCTAGGCGGAGCTGCTCGGTGGGGAGTTTCTGGCGGTGGCCAGATACAGCTCCAGCGATGTCCGCGCGAGTCCCTCACGCCCCAGCAGCTTCGTGAGTGGTACGCTAGGTGGGGTTGTGGCGGCCGCCGTAGTGGCTGTCGCCCTGGAGCTGGTCAGTCGGGAGTGTCTGGCGGTGGCCGGATGCAGCTGCAGCGGCGTCCGCGCGAGACACTTACGCCCCAGCAGCTTCGTGAGTGGTACGCTCAGAGTAGAGGGTCTCGGAGTACCGTTCGCTGCCCGTACGTCATTCGCACAGGTGATCGGGCTGGTCAGGCTTGCGGGACGGTTGGTCACACACAGTCCCGCTGCTTCGCCCGTCTGAGCGACGCCTGGCGTACCGAGTTTGGCGACGAGGCTGAGCTCCTCGACTGGGTGGAGCTGCTTAGGCAGCGGGTGGATATCTTTGCTCTTAACTATGATGCTATCCTCACTGCCATGTATTCACTGCCTACTAGTACTGCGGGTGCCTGTTACCTGTGCATACCACCTGACCCACGTATAGAGTCTGCTGCTCTAGGTGTTGGTGAGGCTGCTGCTCTCGGTGCTAGCGCGTCTCCTGCTCGAGGTACTGGTGTGGCTGCTGCTCTAGGTGCTAGTGAGTCTGCTGCTCCAGGTGCCGGTGAGGCTGCTCTCTCAGGTACCGTGTCGGCTCAGGTCTTGCACACTTTCACCCTTGACTCAGGTGCTTTCCGCTCCTTCTTTCGCGACTGCACCACACTCTCGCCGCTCAGTCGGCCGGTGGCAGTCTCTCTGGCCGACCCCTTTGGGGGTCCGGTCCTTGCCCACTCCTCCACGGTTCTGCCGTTCCGGTGGTCCCGTCTGGCTCACTGTCTGGCCTCCACCTCCCCTCGTTCTCCACGAACTTGGTGAGTGGAGCTGACCTTCAGGACGCATGGGTTGACCAGTTCACTCTTGGAGGTCAGCGGGTGACCCACTGTTCGTGTGCTCGGACGGGCCGGCACCTGGCCACGTTCACTCGTCAGCCTGGGTCAAGCCTGTACACCCTGACTACCGTGTCTCCTCCGGTTGCTGAGTCTGGTCAGGTAGCTGCGTCGGGTCAGGTGTTTGCTGCAGCGTCCCGGTCTGGTCCTGAGTCTGCCCCCTGCTCGTGTCGCCTCCTGTCTCACCAGACTCTCCTCTGGCACCACCGCCTTGGTCACCCCTCCCTGCCTCGTCTCCGAGGCATGGCCTCCCGTTACCTTGTCACTGGTCTCCCCCGGTCCCTCCCTCCCCTTCCTCCGGGGCCTGCCCCTACCTGTGTTCCCTGCGTCGAGGGCCGGCAGCGCGCCGCTCCTCACTCCTCCGAGTTTCCTCCGACTGAGGCTCCGCAGCAGACTCTCCACATGGACGTGTGGGGCCCAGCTCGCGTCCGTGGACAGGGTCACGAGCGTTACTTCCTGCTGGTTGTTGACGACTACTCGCGTTACACCACAGTCTTCCCCTTGCCCCGCAAGGGTGAGGTCACTGAGGTGTTGATCGACTGGATCCGCGCTGCCCGTCTCCAGCTCAGAGAGAGTTTCGGCTCGGACTTTCCTGTTCTGCGTCTGCACTCCGACAGAGGTGGAGAGTTTTCCTCCGACCTTCTGCGAGCCTTCTGTCGTGCACAGGGCATAAGCCAGACGTTCACGCTTCCGGCCTCTCCACAGCAAAATGGGATTGTTGAGCGCCGCATTGGCATGGTCATGGACGTCGCTCGTACGTCCATGATCCATGCGGCTACTCCCCATTTTCTGTGGCCGTTCGCGGTTCAGTACGCGGCGCATCAGATCAACCTCCAGCCCCGGGTCTCCGTGCCGGAGACCACACCTACTCTGCGGTGGACGGGGAAGGTTGGCGATGCGTCTGCGTTCCGTGTCTGGGGATCTCGAGCTTTCGTCCGCGACTTGTCTGCGGACAAGTTGTCCTCCCGTGCTGTCCCCTATGTCTTCCTTGGCTTCCCCCCTGACGCGCCTGGTTGGCAGTTTTACCACCCCACCTCGCGCCGTGCTCTGTCCTCTCAGGACGTCACGTTTGACGAGTCGGTTCCTTACTATCGTCTCTTCCCCTACCGCACTGCCCCCCTCCCCCCCCCCCGCCGCTCTTCCTCGCGCCAGGTCCTCCCCCGGTAGACCCCCTCCCCCCTCAGGGTCCTGCCCCCTCAGGTGTGTCCCAGGTAGACGCAGTCGAGCCTGTCGAGGTAGCTATTGACTCTGGTGCTGCTAGGGGTGCTGAGACTGCGGGTGCTGGGTCTGGGGGTGCTGAGCCTGAGCGTGCGGAGCCTGGGGGTGCTGAGTTTGGGGGTGCTGAGCCTGGGGGTGCTGAGTCTGGGGGTGCTGAGCCTGGGGTTGCTGAGTCTGGGGGTGCGGAGCCTGAGGGTG